AAACAAGGATTTCTCATGGTTTGTTTTAGTAAAAAATTATATTTAATCGTGAGTTACGATAATGTTCTCAAAACTATACAAAAGTTTCAAATTAAATCACTTCATAGTATTTATTGAATTTGATAAGAGTATTTAGCCATATTACTTTCTGATTCAAGCATGTAGGAACCATATTAGATTAATTCAAGATTTTAAAATTAAAAATTAGATATTCGAAAACTATATAAGAAGTAATGTAAGTTGCAATTCTTCTTGTATCATATCAATAGAAAAAATGTTGATCAAAATTCATGTAGTTTGAATCTCGAGAAGTGAAAAGTGACCAATATTTTCAGACAGAGGGAGTACAATACATGAAAACCATCGACCAACATACATTAAAGTCAGAATGTTGGACTCAAGAGATTAGAAAACAACAAGATGAACAAGAATTGATATTTTCAAGGTCTAACTTCACAAGGGAGAAATAAGTCCAAACAAGAACAAAGATCATTCTTTCAAGCTTAAATTTTGTACCATTTGATTGCATTCTGCCAAGGGTCCAAATCCTTATTACTGAAAAGCTGTCAAATTTGATTTGCTATTCTGACCAATGGCATATGAACAAGTTCAAGAATCCTCCAAGTTCAGATCTAGTAGTATTTATGATGTTTTCTTGAGTTTTAGGGGGTGAAGACACTCGCAAAACTTTCACTAACCAGCTCTATGAGGCTTTGGTTGATGTGGGTCTTCGTAGTTTTATGGATGACAATGAGATTGAAAGAGGAGAGAACATTAAGTCTGAACTGGATAAAGCTATCCACCAGTCAAAGGGATCAATCATTGTTTTGTCGAAAAACTATGCATCTTCCAGCTGGTGCCTTGATCTTGTCATGATCCTGGAGAACAAAAAGAACAGAGGACATGCAATTCTTCCTGCTTTCTACTATGTTGATTCATCTGATGTCAGAGCAATCGGGGAGCTTTTCCATAGCATTTGCTCGACATGAAAAGAAATTGCTGGAAAATTCAGAAGATGGTCAAGCATGGGCTAAGCGGATCGAAGGGTGGAGGAAAGCACTCAAAGAGGTTTCTAGTCTTGGGGGGATGACTTTACAGGGCCAAACTGAAAGGTAAGCTCCATTATTACCCAAGATTTA